GTGTGTGTGTGTGTGTGTGTGTGTGTGTGTGTGTGTGTGTGTGTGTGTGTGTGTGTGTGTGTGTGTGTGTGTGTGTGTATCTCTCCCGTGGCTCTGTCTCTCAAGTGAGAAAAGAAAAAGCAACAACCGACCAACCAACCAACCAACGGCGTTGGTCTGTTTTGGACGATTTCTCCAAGCCACCTTAAATAAGTGCTAGCAAGGTAGGGTAGGTAAGATAGTTAACAACGACAGCTGCTCTGGCAGGGGCAAAGCGGTGGCACAATCCCATGGTTTGCGACATGTTGCTTATTGCTTATTGCCTACCCTCCGTAGTGTTAATCCTCTTCATCGTCACCTTCATCCTCCCGTGTGCATATGTCGTCAAGACCGACCCGGACCCCTTCCGCAATGACCGACTGTCAACTCTCTAGCAACAAACTTCAAGGAGACATTTCCATTTCGTTGTCAGCGTCATCTTCTTCTCGATTGGCTGTGCCATCGGTAGGTCCATGTGGAAACTCCTTTGGTGTATCTCCGTTGACCAATTTGGTTCCCATCAACATCTTCGAAGTGGCATTGCAAGGAGGAGACCCAGCATCTGTTCCGTTTTGTTGTCTTGGTGGTGTTGGAGATTCAGGTGCGGGAGGCTCTGGTGTAACACTGGCTGTGGGAGGAGTTCCAGAGGAATCACGTCCCAAGACTGCAATTCTTCTGTTGATGAGCTCCTGCAGTTGAAGGAGTTGATTGAGCTCGTTACGCTCAACAGACTCAATCACCTCAGCGGGAGCTTCGCTAATGAGTCGATTCGTCAATTCTGCCAATGCGTCTCCAGAATAGCCATCGATACCTTTGCCAGACATATCGGCAAGTGTCAAAACGGTCTGCTGTTCCTGAATTGAGCGGTTTCGAAGAGCCGCATTGGCCCTTGCAGTTTCTGTGATGGCGAGTGCATTCGCGCCGGTCCAGAAGTCGGGTTCTTTGGTCGTCACCACTGTCTCATGTGGAGGATGATACAAGACGGCACCCTCTGGACGGTATTTCTTTTCGTGAATTCTCATCGGAGCGTCCAAGATTCGTGGGATCGAATGATCTTCATACCAACTCTTCTTGACGCGATCAATAAAGTCGAGTCGAATCGCCTTTTCGGGAACACGGTAGATCTTGCCTTCCATGTGAAATTCTTTCGTCCGGTCGAAGCTCTCATCCCTCATGGGCTCAATTTCAATGATGCCATTGTTCTTGAATCCACGAGCCACCGGAACATCCACGGGCACAGCGTTCTTCGGCTTGCGCAGCCGTGGCACACGGCCCATATCACCCGGAGCGGCTTCGGCTTGACGACCTAGAGCCGCCAGGTCATGCTCGATATGCAACGGGCATCGCCATGACGAACTCGGCTTCCAATCAGCGCGACGCCGTGGTGGGATAGCAAGAGGCGGGTCGACGCAGTCCAGGTGCCATTTAGCAGGACAAAAGTCGCAGGGGATAATGTCGCGTCCATTTGAGGTTTGGCCACAGCGATAACACATGATCAGGTTCCCTTTGCTGTCACGGGTTTCCTTGTAGTTCGGCTCTTCGATAAAACCGGCCCTATTCATCTTGACGGCATTGTTCTGGGTGCGCGGAAGGGCAACTTCTTCGTATTCGCCCTCTTCGCCCGTCTTGACACCTTCGAAATACTCCCGCACATCAAGTGGAAGTGCAAAGGCCTTTGGAATGGTGTCGTCAACTCGGCGAATGAGCGATCCGAGAAGTCCCGTCGGCTTGGTGGTTGATCTAGATCGCTTTGCAACACACTGAGGACAGAACCATTCGCCTTCGACCTCGTCATCGGCATCCAAAGGCGGCTCGAGACAAGCATGATGGAACGAGTTTGTACAACCGTCGCAGCAAAGAAGTTTTCCCTCGCCACCACACGATGCACAATATTCGTCGTTGTCCTGAAAATCAAAGTCAGTGGCCGAGAGAAAGGGCATCAAACATCTGGCGCGAGGACGGCCGGCACAGGTGAGACGACGGGTATGATTTTAGATGGAATATTCCTTGGCCAGCATTGTGGAACAGGAAGAGAGAAACACGAAAGGGCAAAGAAAGTGAGCAAAATGAATCGAAGGAGCAGCGGGCCAATCGTGGCAGCTGCAAAGGCCGAAGAAAATAGAAAATGGGACTTCTGGCTTACCACTTCAGCTCCCGAATCAGCGCCGTTGCCGACCGCAACGTCTCGAGAAGGCCCCGCACGTGAAACCCCTGCGGTGATTCCACCATTCTTGGGTTTGTTGGGTCTAGAGATAAGCCATGTTAGTATCATATTCCAGCATGAGAACGACACCTGTAATGCGCGCCGTGACTTTGCCTGCAAGGAAAGGATCGGGTGTGGCGTCCCCATCCTCGGCAGACAAGGATAAATCCGAACAGCCGACGCTGAACCAGACATCGGCATCACGGGAGCGGGATAGAGCAAAAGGTCATCTTGCAGAAGGAAGTACTCACGAAACCATAACACGGGCGGACTTTCGAGTGCCCTTTTGAAGCGGTGGAAATCTGGCAGCTCTTGGAGTGGCACCTCTAGAGATCGCATTAGCCACTCCCGGCGGCGGTGGGGGGACAAAAGCCGGTCCGGGCGACGATGATATCGAGGTTGCAGTGTCAATGTCATCTGTGTCGGGATCATTGAAAGGTCTGTATCTCTTGCGACCGTTTGCGTTTCCGTTGATCAATATGGTATCAGGCGGCACCGTCACTGGAGAAGACAACGCAGTGCTGGAAACTGGTAACCGATTCGGATGAACTACAGGCGGCGGAGGTCTCTCGCTCGGGTCAGGGACATCAGGGTGGCCATGAACCAGCCCGCGTTCGTCACTCTCAGGTCGAGGAATTTGATTGTAATCATGAAAGCTGTCTTGGAGAAAATCCCGTTTGCGCAGGTTGAGCTCGTCAATATCAAACTCAATGTCGTCTCGGGTTTTCTGTGGTTTCTTAGACGTGCCCTTGGCCACAGATGTCGTTTCGACAATAGGTTGGCCGCCAACAGGGTCGTGGTATGTGGCACTCGCAGTTGAACGAAGTCGGCCGCCCGTCGCTGCGCGGCTCGCGGCTTGGCGTTGGTTCATTGACCTGGAGCGTCGACCATCAGCGCCACCAGGCCCACGGGCCGCAGGAGGAGCGTAATCATCAGGAAATGACTTGGCTGATGAAAGCGATGAATCGCTTGACACGCTGCGGGCGCGCTTCCGTTTGTTGGGAGATGGGGTGGGTAGAAGTGACTGTGTCCGCAAGGATGGATCGATCGAGTCCAAGTTGCGAGACACCGGTGAGGGCACTGCGACCGTCGCGTCAGGCTGAGCAGCAGACGCCGCGGCGCGGTTCATATTGAAATAGAGGGAGATTCGGGGATTGGACGGCTGTGAAGGAGTTTTTCCACTGAGATCGGGTTGGCGATGTTTTGACGAACGGGGAGAAGAGACGGCATCGCGTCGAAGAGGAGACGATTGATAAGGACTGGTTGAAATCTGACTTGATCGCCGGTGCTTTCTGACCCCAGATTTGATGTATCGTTTGAAGACTTTAAATTGAGCGGCGTTGGGTGATTGCTGAACAACCGCCTCCAAGACATTCCACAATTCAGGTATCACTTGAGCATCGTCACGTAACTTCTGCAATCCGGGAACCAGAGCCGAAGAGTCCTTGTCCTGGGCTTCATGAATTGCTCGTTCAAGGTGATTTTGAAGCCGATCTCGCCGCAAGTGTTCCTGTATCGACGGAGGTTTGGGCTGTGCGTGGCCGGTGTGAGCAGAGGACAAATTTGCCGGCGACAGTGAGGCAGTCGGAGCTTGCGACATCTCTGCAGCCTCTTTCCGAGGTGGTCGGCCACGCGGCGGACTCGAAAACAAGACGGTATCTGGCTGTCGAGGCAGTTCCGGCGGATTGTCTGACATGATTTCGGGTTCCAGGGGCGACGCAACATCCATCTTTTCTGGGTCCGCCGACGTGGACACAACCTCCTCGACCTGCACAGGAGTAGGTCTGTGTGACGGCCGCACGTAGTTGGTCACTTTCAGCTTTTGTAGCATGCGCTGGGTAGGAGGTATGCCCAGAGGCTGCATGTTTTCCAGGACGCCGACTCGTTCCAGGCCTTTGGTGTCCTCGAAACTCGGCACCGCAGTCCGCACAGTAGGCTCGATCCAGGTGTCCAGATTTGTCTGTTGGCCATTTCGTGCCACAGGAGCCTCGACGTGCTTGGGCGTGACATCCTTCTCACCAAACGTGGCGGGACTCGAGTACCGGCTCGATCTGTGCCGTAGCGATCTTGTGGACATGCTTCTTCTTCTCCGCGCCGCACGCGCCGACTGCAGGGCTGTTAGTTCAGGGACACGTCTGCAGGAGGAGGGAGGAGACCTACAGTAGCCCGTGAGAAGGCTCCGCGGGCTGGATGCGCTCAAAGGCAGATGGGAGAAGACGGCGAAAAGATGGTGATGGGAGGCAGACGAACGTCAACTAGCGAGGTGCGCGAAAGTTGCAGCAACTAGCAAGGGGTGGGAGGAGATTCGGAGGCCCCAAGGCTGAGATCTCCCTCCCCTTTTGCTTTTTTTGCTGACAGTGACTGGCGCCACCCACGGCCACCAGCTCAATAAAAACCTATTGTCGACGCTTCACCTCGATTCACGCTTCACTCTAGCACTGGGAAATTCTGCGCAGCAATAGCACCCGCCTCGATCTATTCACTTCATTCACCCTGCACCTCACGGCCAGGCACCGGCCCAAGCCCACAGACCATGACGTGGCAAGTGATTTACGCGGGTCCGCGAGGCAGACATTTCTTAACCAATGTAGACTTTGCCGGTGAACTCAATGCTTTTTTTTTCTTGGATATATGGTATCTTTTCTACCCCATGTCATGCAAAATCATGAATCCCTGCCCACACATGGAGCCATGTTTCCAGCGGCTACTGACTTGAAACACGCTCCATCACCACGATCCAAGACCACGACGTCGACGCCGGCCTCGCTAACACCATTCTTTCATCAGCGTGAGAGAACAAGGACCCGGACAAGACAGCGCTTTTTGACCAGGCGGTGGGATAATGGCTCATTCCTCGTCACTAGAATCATCCGAATCAGAGTCCGCTTCAGCCGCGGCGGCCTTCTTGGCGGGCTTCTTCTTCTTCTTCTTGTTCTTGCTCTTTGAGCCCGTGGATTTGCTGGTTGGCCGCTCCAGGATCTTCAAAATCTCTTCGTCCTCGATTTTCTTGTCGGATTTGACCGACTCCAGGTCCAAAGGGGGAGGGGCTGCTAGGCGAGTGAGCCCATTCTTGGTGATAGCTGCGAAGATGGTCAGTTTTATCTTCAATCATGGTCCGCAGTCGTTGTCAAACTCACCGACGGTGGTAAAGAGCCTCGAGACGGGGGATCCGTCAGCTTCAGCCGAGGGCTTGTACTCTCTGAGCACGCCGGCCCGGATAGACTCGATCACGCCCACCTTTGCAGCTTTCTCATCCTCTAACTGACGAAGACTGAACGGGAATGTGCCGAACTTCTTGACGATTTCGGACAGTGTCTGTCGGGAACTAGGCCTCTTGAGTCCATACGTCAGGTTGGTGCGTCTTAACAGAGTCGAGCGCTTGTCCAAGTCCTTGACTTTGCCGGAGCCCAAGCTCATTCCAACCTCAACACCCCAGACTTCACCAACTTCGGGGGTGCCGTCGCCTTTGGTTCCGTCATGGGGCGACAGGATGATCTTCTTCTTTCCCTCGATGTCATTGCGCTCAAACATCCAGGACGTCGTGTGCTGAACCACGTTCACCTCGTAAGATTTGGCAATCTTCTCAACCAGAGCGATGATTTTGCTCTGTGTGGGTGGTTTCTCCGCGGCAGCTTTCGCCTTCTCCTCGTCTGAGCCCGTGGCCAGGAGTCCTGGGGGAATCATCAATCTTAACAGCAGCTCATTTGCATAGTGTGTAGCCAACAGCAGGTCCGCCTCTCTGCCAGTGATCTCTGCCTTCTTTCCCTTCTCTTGCGGCACGACAACGGTGTCTCCCACAATGGCGCCGAAGCCGTCAATCTGTGCACCCAGCTGGATCTTGACGAGCTCGCCGGCCTTGACCGTCAGGGCCGCATCTTCGACGTCGGACTTCAGGGGAGTGAAAGGCGTGATATGGCTGCTCGGGCTGATCGTCACAGGAGTGTTTGTGCTTTTCAAGACATTCTTCCCCTTGTAGACTGTAAAGAAAATATCACACCCGTCAGTTTCGCCGGATTCAAAAAAAAAGGAAATGTGACTCGGCAGGAAAGCACCGTACGTACCAGTGCTCAGCTTCTTCTCGACCAGCTCGTCTCCACGCTCACACAGGTCGACGATCTTTTCGCCGTCGGCGAGCCATCCTGGGAGAATTGTCAGTGTGTGTGCTGGCTCGCGTGGGGTCCCCTGGGAAGCGCTCATCTACCTGACACTTCCTTGAGCACATCTGAGGCCACGCCAGCCGCGGTGCGGAGCCGTGTCAAGTTGTCCGGGCTCAGCATAGTATCATCGACAGTGTCGGCCATCTTGACGGTGTGCAGAGGGCGTGGGTTGAGGGAACGATTGTGTGTGCGATTTCAATGCTACGGTGCATGTGTGACCTCGACCGCCGCCGAATGTGCAGCGAACAAACTCCAATGATGCACTGCGGGGTCCAGCCTCGAGTCTTGGCACCGTCGAGCCCTCCCAGATACCTACGAGGCAGAGATGTAACTAGAGTTCAGCCTCGTCGTCTCGACCGTCTCGTCTCTCGTGGCCATGCCTTGGGGATAGGCAACAAGTGCTTCGCAGAGACACTGCCGAGCATCATGGTGGCATCCGGGATGAAAACATGACATACATCCTCTGTGTCCGTTACTTCGCTGTTCTACGATCCACCGCACTGTCTATTCCTCCGCGACTCAGAAACCTGGCAGACATACACGTAGACTACCAGTTGAACATACAATGTCATACTCCTTGCAATACTGCATAAGTGGAAGATGGAGTACATCCTCTACGGACTCGGAGCTCCTGCTCAAATTTTACATATTCAGAGTTCTTATATACCTAAGGTAGTAGTGATAAGACAGCGTTATTTAGCTTTTGCAATCCGCTCCTCCACGTTGCTTCTATGCGAACGAGTATTCACATGATTCTCGAACCCTGATGCTGTCAATCCCGGACCGGGTAGGTAAGTCTTAGCAGGGCAGTCAGGACAACGGATCCGCGGGACGTATTTGTGTGTAAATGACCTGTTCGCCTCATTCGGAGTAACGAGCTTTTGTGTCTTTGGGTCAACTGCGACGTGCTTCATCCACGGCTCGTAGACATCATCAGGGCGGGTCAGCTTAAGCCGTTCCAGGTCCTGGAGGAGCCAGGTAGGCGGCGCCGGCTACCTCAAAGTCAGCACAGTTGCAGTGGGATGGATGTGTGTATACTTACTGCTGGGTGTTCTGGGCTGGGAGGATGCCAGGTAGCATCCACAGCGCCCGGGATCTCCCCAGGAGCTGGAGCAGGTGAAGGTGGAGGGGGCATGGCAGCAAGGTTCAAAGGCGCCGCCGACACAGATCTCGAATGTGTCCCGACTCCAGGACTACCTTGATTAGACGCGGTGGAGGCGCCTGCACGGTCTCTCAATCGTTGTGAGCGTGTCCACTCTCGTAGTTTGGCTCTTCCAACCTTCAAAATGACGACGAGCTTGTCTGCAACGGATTCTTCGTCGTCGCTTTCTTCTTTGTATTCTCGCTTTCGGGCCGAGGCTCTGCTTTCATGATGCGAAGGTGCAACTGAATCTGGCGTTGCCGAGCGCATGGATGTTAAACCAGAGAGATTGGAGCGAATGCCAGCAGTTGCCGAGAGCGCAGCATTGCGCGCACTCCGTATGCGAGTACCCTGCTGCAGCAGATGTGTAGGAATGGCAGGAGAATCCGGTCCGGAATCTTCACTATCAGAATCGTCTGAATCTTCAAAACCGTCGCGCTGGCCGGCTCCTCGGGCAGACCGGCGAGTTGCTTTGGGCACCCTAAAGATCCTGCTTTCTTCCATGCTTAATGCGCCTCCTGGAATAACAGAAGAAACGACAAGCGACCTTATCGTGCGTTGTCGATCTTTGAGATCTGGTAGAGCAGGCCCACCGCGACGGTTCGTCGACCGCTTCTGTCTTCGCTGCTCCCGGGATATAGAGAGTTCTGTCCGTTCCAGGTCGGTCTCGTTGAGCTCATAGAGATATGGTGAATAATCTTTGGCAGATTGATACGGACGAAACGTGACGGGAATAGGAGACGGGAGAAAATTCTCTCTCAAGTCGGGATCTTCAACTGGCCTGCCGTCAAATGGATATCCAGTAATGTGTAGGGACTTTGAGAACAGTTGACTTTGTTCGCGAATCGAATGAGCAATGGCAGTCGTGAACTCTCCTGCCAATGCCAGATCATTCGTCATCTGCCTCGCAAACTCCTCTGGTGAATTGTAAGGATTGTTAATCTCCCACTCAAATTGGTCAATCAGAGTATTCTGGCCGATTGTTATATTGAGCTTGACCAGGATGCGCATTTCGTCGTTCTTGTAAGCCGAGTAGGGCAGTGACGGCTCCGAAGGCTCGTCATCCCCAAAGATTTGAGGACAGTAATCGGTGATCTGTTCCCGGATGCTATGCGCTACAGATTGAATTAGCGGGCGGCATTGTTGAATATCTAGGCCAAAGTCTTCGACTAGCTTCTCCGCGAAATAGTCAATCGATGTTGTCCGATCATTGAGGTTCCATGTAAACGTGTCGCGCAGTTTTATTTTGCCCCAGTCGATATCGAGCCGGACGGGGACGAGCTCTTCACTTTGCTCGGCCTGATTGAGCTGGTCTTTTCGAGATATCCGTGAGAGCAATGTCTTTTTCTTGCCAGGCCTCCGCTGACGAGGGTATACGATGGGATCGCGCAGGGTTTTGTCGTCGGTTCTCGGGTTCCCAAAGCCTGCATAGCCGTGCCCGAAGATAGAACCTGGATCATGCTCACGTTGGGGGCGCAAGCTTTGGTACAGCGCCAGCTCTTGTTTCTTCTCTTGCGCCAGCAGCCCGTGAGTGTGCTGCTCTGCTAGGAGGGCTTTGTAATGGTATTCACGCTGAACATATTCATCGGCTTGTATTCGCTCGATGGGAGTGTCGCGTTTGCGCTTAAGTATGCGGTCCGGGCTGGGACTATCACGACGGCCATTGCGCTCTGTAGGACTAACATCCTTTGTGACCTCAATGCCCGAAGCAGCTAATACCTCCTTGGCCTTTTCCTTCCCCTGGGCTATGGTGTCGGCATTGTTGGAGGACGCATTGGATGAATTCTCTACAGGCGCGGCCACCGCAGTCGCACCGTCGGGAGAATTGCTCATGGCGACGACATATCACTCGTGACGTCGTGGAGATGCTGTGGGAATGTGAATGGGCGCGTTGACGCGTTGCTGATGATGAAAGTTAGTCATTGCGAGCAAAGTCGGGATGCAACTGCTGGAAAGGAGGCTGGGGATTGGGAGTGGCAGTGAGAATCCATCACCGTCGCGGACAGGCATCACAGAACACTCAAAAACATCATGGAAAACATCACAACAGATGAATACATACCAGGCTTGTACGCGATCTAAAGGTACGATGGGCAGAAACGTGTCTGGGATGTGAGCACTTCTCGTCAATCCGCAAACTGCGCCGCAAGTTTCGCGCTCGGGATAAATGAGGCCAAATTGGGTTTAGCTCGGGAAATCTTGATCCAGCCCGCGCTTCCGTCTGCTCTGATCCTGGCCTCGGAAACCCCTGTGCTTTAAGCGTAATGGATGACAACAATACGAGGCATCTGACGGAATGTCTGCAGTCAGATCGATCTGACCGGCTGCAGTTCCAGAAGCCTCAGTTGTTTCAGCGTGGTGATGGGCTCGCCACTCGGTTCCTGATGAGGCACTGAATCTTCTAAATCTGGCCACGCATATTCATGTCATTTGACATCCACAGATCGTGCTCGGTCAAACACCCGGTTTTGTAGGTCTAGGAGGCTTCACGGAGTATTGTTCTCTCGGGATGAGTGCTAGAGTCCAGTAGAGATTCTACAATAATTCAAATCCGTCCTTCCTTCGTTTGTGGGCTGTTTGGATGTCCTGGCACAAAAGTGTGTAGCAAACACGATTTATGTGCGTGTCCGGCTCGGATATTTATTATATTCCAGGGATACACGAAGCGGCCCCGGGTGTGTTGTATATTGCTGATTCTGCTCCACGGACTCGTCCTGGTCTCTCTCGAACAAGTCTTCTTCATTACTAGTCTCTCTCCAGCAGTCGTCCTCGTGGTACATTATCTCAGCATGGGTGACGCATCAACGTCCGGAACCACCGCAGAGCCGAACAGACATCAAGGCACAGTTCTTCCCCTCCGTATTCTCACCCACAACATCCGTTATGCAAACGATAACCCAGTTACACACGAACGAAGATGGCCAGAGCGCTTTCCCCATCTATCAAGCCACTTCAAATACCACACCCGCCAACACTTCTCCCCGTCATCGACGATAGTTTGCATGCAAGAAGTCCTGCATGTTCAACTTCAAGACCTGATGCATCAGAGTTTCAACTCCTCATATCCCGCTGATTGGGCCTCCGTCGGCGTGGGCCGCGATGACGGCGCAACCAAAGGCGAATATAGCCCCATCATCTTTAGGCAGAGTGCGTGGCAGTGCATCCACTCCGAAACCGTATGGCTTAACGAGACTGGCGAAGTTGGCAGAAGGGGTTGGGATGCATCAAGCGTTCGGATCCTGACCTGTGCTATTCTCAAATTCCGAGAACCCTCTGCATCGACCGCTTCTTTGGCCAACAAGACAATCCTTGCCATGAACACACATCTCGATGACCAAGGAGAGCTCTCGCGCCGTGAATCTGCAAAACTAATATTGAGACACACAGGCCGATGGCAAGCTCAGTACAGTCCGGATTTCACCTTTCTCGCAGGCGATCTCAACAGTCGACCGAGTGGCGACGCATACCATATCCTCAATGCTCCAGGATCGGGCTTCGTAGATACACGAAAGCTGATTCCTGATGACAATAGCGACGGCAAAATCTATGCATATGGCAACGAACGGACGTTCACAGACTTCCAAGGTGATCCAGGAGCCGGCGGAAAGCACCGAATTGACTTCATTCATCTCGGAATTTCAAAAAGGGCAGACGAGGAGGTGGCCGATTTGGAGAAGGTGAGCAATATGGTTCAAGCCTACGGGGTTCTTCCCAACCGCTTTGATGATCATGTCTGGATGAGTGATCATCGCGCTGTTGTTGTCGACTTGTTGATCTGATGTCGGGTATCGAACTCGTGAGCGGAATGAACGAAATATACTACACCATTCGAGAGTTTGACTCTGATGGCCAGTGTCTTAAAAAACCGCCGGAGCAGTTCTTACAAAACCTTGTAACCTCGCCTGATGATGTGATTAAAAACACCGTCAGATGCGTAAGCGCCTACGGAGTTCTTGGAAGCGTAGTCCTGTCCTCGGAGGATCTGCGTGAACAATTTGAAACATGATTAATGTGAAAAGCCTTTCTATTGAGCATCGGAAGACAAGGACCTGCATGGATATTGCTGTCTCTGAAGGGGTTATTGTGTTGGGGCTTCACACAGGTCGACAGTCGTGGTTGTCAGGGAAGAAGACGTCGAGTCAGGTTACCACGATTGATTGGTCTGCATGACTCGGATGGATCTTTTCGTTGTACCGGCTTCCTGCGCAATTCTTTGTACTGCGAGCAATGAGTGTCGTGCTGTCTTGAGAGATCTAGCATACGTTTGGCTATTGTCGCTGTTGCACTCTGAGGCCGGATGCCATGTTTGAAGGGGTTCTACGTCCATGCACTGAAACACCGTGATTCTTTCCGAATTGCAGGCGCGGCACCCAACCTCGTCGCAGCGTTTCCGAGGCTGTTCCAGCTCATGAGACATTGAGTATTGACATCGGAAGCTACAACACTCCTAGACCGATGGAAACGAGGTTGCCCCGCGAGGAATGGATTCTACCGTGAAGCGAGACACAAGCTCAGAGGCGGTGCCATCGGCAAAGTTCTTACAAGGTGTGTCTTAGCACGCTCACTCTACGACAAGACAGTGAACGATGCGCTTGGTTCTCTGTGAGACTACGTCCTGACGGTTCTCAGCAAGAATTACGGCTCTCTCCACCACCTTGATCAAGAGATTGGAAAACATCTTTGCAGTGGCCCTGGATGAGACGGGCCCACAGTCGATGTTTCCTGCCGGGGGCAGCGATGTACCACCTCCTCCGTCGTTGACAGACACGTCAGTCCAGCAGTTCCAGCTCGACGTCGAATCTACCGCAGTCATCCGAGCAGCGGAAGAGATCATGATGTTGACCCGCACGTTGAAGGAGATATGGTTGTTTGGTGGGTTGGACACACTGGAACAGGATCATCATAACGAAGAAGATGAAGCAATGCGGAAAAAGATGGATGAAGACATCAAAGTGGTTGAGGATGGATTCAAACGATTCCTGGAAAGATATGAGACTGCTATCGAGGTAGACACGACTAAGAAGACAGTCGCAGCATGACGAGCGACCACCGGGGTACTGACGACCGCGCGGTGCTCATGTCAAGACCTGTAGAAAGAAGGACGCGCGATAAACTCTTACTCGAGGCTCACTAAGATAGGCCTCGTTGTGTATGGCCATCGGTACCTACAGACTTCCGGAGGTGCTAGGACATAAACAGCTGGAGAATGGAGAATGGAGAATGGAGACGTATTGTATCTAGGGCTCCCTGTCCGGAGTGCGAGTACTGGACTCCATTCCTCTTGGTACCTGGCTACTACGAGTACTGCAGTACTCGTGCCTCGTAGAGTCGTAGTACGTGCCCAGTGCATTTGTGATCGTCGAGCCGGATGCTGGTGGATGGATCTCTTTGACATTCCAAGCGAGCAAGACACGCCTCGCACCCAATAGCAACTCGCCTTTCCCGACTTTCGGTTGAGGACTAAGCGAATTCTCGATCTCCGTCAACTTTCTTCGTACTGTGATTTACGGATGTCCTCGAAAGGACCGATCAAGGGTTTCAGGATGGTTTCCGGATAACAAGCACCGTGGCTTAGTCGAAATGCTGTGAAGATCTGATACCCACTGCCAATACCTGTCCATCAGCTAAAAGCTCAACCTCATCCTGGTCACTACCTGGCCAGCTATATATTTTATTGTACAGTATGTTTGGTGGTGGTCGCTTGTAAGTGGTCTGACTCCGACCCTCACAACAACGGCCGGTCTAGACCTCGCTCGCTTTTTGACAACACACGTCTCTCCCTCTCAGCCTCAGTGGGCAACATGAGTCTATGACAACGTCTAGACCACCACACTACTACGCTTCCAGCCTGAGGCACTGTGCGATCCAAAATTTTCTCTACCAATCCCTACCACTCATTTCGACGCGCCACAGTGTTGTACCTGTATTATACGTGTTCAAGACAACTGAGGGAGCAGTATACGACCAGCAATACGTGAACAACGCCCTTTTCGTAAGATTCGACGACGCGGTGACGAAAGATCACTGTGACTTCTAGACCTTGGTCGCGTCGAGAGGATGACCACAATACCGACCCCTCCATCGACAACCTTGTCAGAACCACCATCCCCGACCGAACGGCGTATCACCGTGTCATTCGTTGACCCCTTTGACGAAACCGACGACATGTCTGCCTCGAACCAAATCATCAAGACGACAACGACGACCATCACTCCGATACGAATGCACCCGAAACCCATATATTTGATAGTGGCGACGAGTCTCAATCCGCCCATGGGCATCGGCAACAATGGCGACCTTCCCTGGCCACCCATCAAAGCAGACATGGCATTCTTCAGAAAAGTCACTTCTCACGTTTCTCCAAGCGAGCAGACAGTACCGTCACGCATGTTCAACGCTGTGGTCATGGGCCGAAAGACCTGGGAAAGCATTCCCCTAAAGTTCCGCCCACTGTCGGATCGGCTGAACGTGATCATCACGCGTAGTAAATCAAGCGACCTGGGCTCGCGGATCATCGAGGAGCTGAAGTCTTCGACGGGGAACAAGGGAGAGCAATGGTCTATGCACGAATTCGCGATGAGCGCAAAACCCTCAAAGTCCAAAACGAGCGGCAAGAACTCAAGAAGCGCTATCCTCACGCCTCCCCCCTCAGCCACTGCTCATCATGCACCGATCCTGATCTCGCCATCGTTACAATCTATACTCGCCCTACTCTCGAATCCATCAGTCATTGCAGGCCCGACCTCGGCATCGACCTCGGGTCCTCCGGCGCTGACGGTCAACAAAATCTTTTGCATCGGCGGCGCCGAAATCTACCGCCAAATCCTGTCCATGTCCTCTGCCTACACGGATCGGTACGCTCTGAAAAAGTCGGCGAACCCAGCTGCTGATTCCGAGACCGACACCGACACGGACGGCGAAGGGGACAACAGCGACTTTGACGTACGCATCCTGCAGACCCAAGTCCGCAAAATCTCCGCTAAACCGCCACCGCCGTCTGACTCTTCCCCGACGGCGCTCTCCAAACAACGGAGTCCTGAGCCTGATTTCGAGTGCGACACGTTCTTCCCCGACCTGTTGCCCGCCGATCCGAGCATCAAGTCCACGAAATGGAAACCCCTGCCGGCTGAATGGTTGGACGAATGGATCGACGGGATCGAGGTACCACAAGCGCAGTCCTCCCAGGCTACTGACGACAGTGATGCCGAGGAAGAATCCAGCGGCTGGTACAGGGACGAGAAGGCCAACGTCGAGATCCGGGTGGTAGGATGGGAGAGAAGAGGTGCCCGGAGTGATTCGGTGGCTAGCCTTCCCAAGGATTTCAAGCCGTGATGTTGGAAGCTGTGTCCAATCAATTGCCGTTTGTTGTCCGAGGAGAATGCATTTGCTCTGGGCGAGGATGGCCTGAGTGAGAGCCGTACCATTTACACGACGGCTGGATGGTGGAAGCGAGCCCGAGAGGGATGCGCAGGGAGCGAGCGCGGAAGGGAACAAAAGTGACGGGCAGGACCATATCTACACATTTCAACCGAGGGACCTTCATCTACAAATGCCACTTCCAGCTACTTACGACACCTACACACAAGCGCAGAGAGGAAAAGGTGCGAATTATTCTTGGAAAGACAGAACAGAGAATTCGACCGCTTTGCGACCTTGATTTTCGTCTTTGGCCGCAAGTTGCAGACGGACACAAGGCAGACGGCAGATATTTCGGATAGCAGGATAATTAGTCGGTCCCTTAATGGCGGACCAGTACAAAATTCAACATTATTCAGATTTGACTGATTGACTGCTTGACTGCGTGACTTATCATAGGTGTATACCTACCTCGTATTTGAAGGTATACGCAATATCCCAGTGACATCAGGATCTTTGTGATTTCTCTCAACCTCATGTCACCTGTTTCACCTGTTTCGTGCCCTGAGGAGGAGTGACTAGCTAAATAGAAGTCGTCTGCCTTACTCAATTAGTAGTCGTTGTTGTTATTGTCGTTATCGTTGCCACCGTATCCTCCTGCGTCGCCTCTCTTCTCGGCACCTCTCTCTCTCAACTTGTCACTGCCAAACAGATTGCCGGCCTTCTCCAGGAGTTTTCCTGCGGTGCTGTCCTGCTTGCCACCACCCTGCCTTCCGCTGTCGTTGTAGTCGTCGTCATTTCCATACGACCCGGAGCCAGAGTCACCGCCATACCCACCGGACTGTTGACCGCCGGTGGTCGCGCCAGAGCTTCCATATGTGTCGTCTCGACCTTTAGAGAGTGTGGCACGTTAGTCTACCGTTCGTCTACTCAAAGCCATCGCCTGAGACGCCAGGCACAGGACAAGGTAACGTGAGAGAGAAGACGATGGATGACATCCGGGCTTGTCACATCACGACGTACCTAGACCACCGCCAGTTCGACCAGACGATCCATACGAATCATTCCCTCCACCGTATCCGCCACTGGTGTCAGAAGAACCGTACGAGTCGTTGCCGCCACGACCAGAACCTACACCGTACTGGTCACTGCCGGATGATGCACCTCCAGTCGCGCCAGAGCTACCGTATGTATCGTCTGAGCCTGATGATAATAATTGGTGATTAGTCTTTGTATCCCGGTAATGCTCGCACGCACACAGGTACACACGTGTGCGAGATAGTAGTCAACGACCACCACATGCAACGCAACAAGTAGAACTTACCTAGACCACCGCCGGTACGACCAGAAGAGCCGTACGAGTCGTCGCCGCCACCGCTGCCGCCATAGCCTCCTCCTGAGCCACCACCTCCAAAGGACGAGTCTCCGCCACGGCCGGAGCCCAAGCCATATTCATCACGACCTGAAGTATTGCCGCCGGTCTGGCCACTGCTGCCGTATGTATCGTCGGAGCCTTTTTTTTTGGGAGGAGAGTCAGCAGACTGGGTGTATGACAAAGATAACTCTAGGCAACGACGAGGAGGTTCGGAGAGAGAAGAAAGTAGTAGGATCCGGGGGTGGTAGGGTAGTTGTGGCCGATATGAGAGAAGCTGGAACACTAACCCAAGCCACCTCCGGTTCGGCCAGAGGAGCCGTAACTATCGTCGCCGCCGTCGCCGCCGTAGCCACCTCCTTGACGGCCGCTCGATCCCTATAAGTTGTCAATAAAAGAAAAACGGTCAGCCGTTGCTCTCCTAGTAGAAAGAGCTCGGGGCATAGGGTATCCGTAAATTCGCTCACGTACATAGCTGTCGTCACCGCCGTAGCCGCCACCTCCACGTTGCTGCAGAACGATGTGTTAATAACATAACCGGAGATACACGACAATGGGATTGGAAAACATTTCTGCCACAGAGAATGATATGGTTTTATGGGTTCCTGGATACCAGGCATTGAGGAGGTATGTATGAGTAGGTAGAGTAGAGTAGGCTGAGGCAAGGCAAGGCAAGGTGGTCAGCATCAGCATACATTGTCGTCGTTGTAAGACATCCTTGGTCTCTCTCTCTCTCTGAGATCTTTTACTTTGGGAGGGTTTCTTGTCGATCTTGGGTGAGAATAGCGAAAAGCTCACACACTCGCGTGGTCTCCGGCAGAAACAGCGGGCACTCGACGCATTTATGTATGCCTACCTCACACATGGTGTCACTCTCTCCCTTTTCATCCCTGCACCACCCTCTCTCACTTCTCACGCTCTTTCGCTCCTCAATACGGTCACGTCAGTCTCAAAAAGCAAATGGACAAAGGGAAAAAAGCCTCGACCAGCCCACCAGCCCATGTCTACGTAAGTCATCGCGGCGTCAGCCAATGGCTCGGTGAGACGAGGGGTCGTGGAACAAGGCACAGGTGTAGCAAACAGCTGAACGTGTCTGGTAGCAGAAACTTGGAGAGTATATCGTCATGTTATGGCCCAGCAATTGGTCGAACCCAGCTCTGCGATGACATGGGGTGCTGCATCAAAGTGTCGCGCTGAGACCGGTTTTCTACTTAACAGGCCACTATGGAGCGTAGAGTTTGTTCAACGCCCGGCTGAACGACGAACAACAGGCTTTTGACGTGAAGGTGGCCGGAATTGCATTTCACTTCCCGCCCCCGCATCGGTACGTACTCGCATGTCCCAAACACTCCTCGTTCTCATGGCTCCTTTCCCTCTACGAGTACGATAACCTTAGGTGGTGAGCATTTGCCGGCTGTTTGTGTGCTCGTGTATGACGTGCATTTCTATGTCACCAGACCCAAAAATGTTGGATATCCTTTCGGCTGTGTGCAATGGCCGCTGCTTGCCTTGCTGCATGGACCCGTGTGGTGCGCGGTTGGAACCCGACCGCCGTGCAGATCTCACGGGCAGCGTGTCCAAGTTTCTGCTCGATCTCAAACGCAATCGCCAGTCGAGACTAGACTGACGTCGTATCGGCCTCGGTGGCTCTCCTGCGATTCTGATGTCTGTTCACGTGGATGTACAAATCGCGGGCTTCGGCTGATCGGGAGATGCCCCTGATTGAAAAGCTTGATCGAGGCGGTGAGCTGAACACTAGTAGAACCTCCGTTCGAGCGCCACATAATCATAGACTCTTGAAAGTAGGAGGGTTCCCTACCCAGCGTCGGGAATTGGGGAGACGGATTGCAGCCTCCCATCCCCTTCACGATCATATTGGAGAGTCTTCCCAGCACAGCGTTGGACCACCATGGATGGCTTCCTCTGTCGGTTGAAAAGGTCGGTTTGACCAGCTTCGCTTATCGAACGTACTTTGACTACAGTCTGGCTTAGTACCTGGTTACAGCTGCATATCAACAGACTTACCATGAACTTCTTGTGAAAATCTGATCGCAATAAATCCTGTACACGGTGAGCAAAGACGCAGGCAAGAGACATGAAATGCACTCACGTTGACGAATTCCTTGTTGCCCTTTTGTTCCGTACCTCGAGCTTGGTTCTTGAACACCACATCGTCGTCCCATCTTCGTTTGACATTGAACGCCTTTGGATTCAGTAGAGGATTTCCGAGCGCAATGCTCTCTTCACGCTCCTCTTGCGCTTGTTTGGCTTGTTCAGCTTCTTCTCGGGCTTTCTGCTCTGCCCGCTCTCGTTTAATCTTTTCCAGCTCGCGCATCAACTCTGCCGTCTCATCTTCTTCGTCGCTCTCGTCTTCACTGCTGCTATCGCTGTCACCACCATCCGAATCTGCGTCGATGTCTCGGGATTCTTCAAGAATTCGTCTTCGTTTTGCCTCCGGGTCTTCGTCGACATCCCCGTCCTTCCCACCATCGTCTGGCGAATCTTCAAGCTCGCGTTTCAAAGGGTTCGGAGCATCACTGGAAGGTTCTGTGCTCTTTCCTTTCTTTGCAAAATGCGCTGCCTCTGCAGCTAGTAATTCGGCTCGTAGATCTCGCTGTTCCGGATCGGCTGCTCCACCTTGACCTGGTTGCCTGCCAACTTTTAGAAGGTGACGGCTATGACAGGGTTGTTGTTACCTACCGGACTTTCAGGAGCGTGTGCGCTGGAAGAAGTCTCTGGTGATATGCCGGGCCGCGTTGAGCTTCTTTTCCTCTGGCAGGATCAAACGTCGGGCGATGAGCTGCAGGGAGATCAGTCTCGAAGTTCCGCGGACACTTGGGAAGACTCACCGGTCGTCATCTTGAGCAGTGAAGAGGGAGGGAATGCCGTATAAGATCAAAGTCGGCCGCAGTAGGTTAGGGAGTTGTAGAAAATTCGCCTTAGAGTTAGTTTGCAGAGCGCAGGCTGAGTCGCAGCACCCGCGAAATGCGGAATGCGTTTCTGTCTGACGGGATAATCTACCTGGCACATACTCTCGGAACCGAAGCCGCCTTGTCTGACGGACATTTTTTAACACTCAATGGAAAGGCCCATACTGTATCAGGCTGTCGGACAAGCAAACTACTCATCGGTGCATAGATTCATTCTGAGAGGTGTTGTAATTATGGCTTTTCTCGCTGTGGCATTTTATTATAGCCATTAGAGTACTGTACGCCACTGACTAATCAGACATCTTGCTCAACCCTGACTTGCCGTCTCCGACAGTAGAAATGGTCAACCATGGGGCGTCACGAGGCTGCGACACATGCAGAAGAAGACGCAAGAAGGTAAGCAACCCTTGAAGATATCGATGATTTTGTTCACACTGAGGACTAGTGTGACGAAGCGCGTCCGGTGAGTCTTGACTCGACCAGCAACTACCATAACTGAGTGATATGTCCCAGTCGTGCAATAGATGTCTCAAGGCAGGCTTTCCCTGCTCGGGGTACCGTCCACGGCAGAATGGTACCTTTCGACAATCTTCTGTCAGCCATCCGCCATATCTCAGCAAAAAGTCTAAAGCTCTTGACCTAGTCGAAGTTCCAAACTGCTTTCCTCAAGCCTGGCCCGACATAAACACCGAGGCATGTGCCTTGAGCGCTTTCTTCCAGCATTTCACAGATGTTTCTCGAGACCCTACTATCTCTCGCGGCTATCTTGACGGCCTCGAGGATCTCTTTCGGTGTGCAGATTCTGATGCCCACATTCAACAAGCATGCAGGATCATGGCCTTCGCGTGTCTCGGAAGCAGACTGAAGATGCCGGCTTTACTCGTTCAAGCGAGATCACTCTATATTAAACTGCTACATTCTTTCTCCCGATCTCTGCTTAAGCTATCAAGTCAAGATGTCATCGAGTCTTTGGTCACTGCGGTGCTCCTTGGGCTTTACGAGGTTGGTGAAAGTCCCAGACACTTTGTGATTATGAGGTAACAAGGCTCGTCAGCTGGTTACAGCTGGATTTACGAAACCCAGCGATCACGATGCTCACTCTAAGGGTGTGGCGGCAATCCTATGTACGACTAACTCCCCGCTTGAGCTCGTCAGAGGCAGAGGTCTATTTCAATTAGCACACTCGCTTTGGAGAAAAGGCCTTAATCAAACTCTCGAACTCGGTGTTGCCCCATCGTCAAAGACATCCAAATGTAATACCCATTTAATTAAGTGCGATGATGAAGCACAGCTTCCCGACGCTCTTCAAGGGGGCCATTTGAGTGGCCCCGAATTTGATCATTCAAAGCTATACCGACTTTTATCAAAAGCAGAGACTCTAATGCTCAGTCAACATGCTCTTTCCGAGGACGTCAATGAGCTCCTTGAGGAAGCTTATTTGTGGGACCGAGACTTGGCTCGCTGGCCAGCAAGTCGACCATACGAAGCTGCGAGAGCATCGACAGTTCAACCCCAAATGCAGAGCCAACTGCCATCATGGTGGCCGCCTACAGCGGACACATACTTTGATTGTATGGATGGGTTCCCCCTTCATATCAAACCCGGCTAACGATAACTTGGCAGTGTACGTGGCTGCGACATGGAACACATACCGCAAGAACCGGCTATTACTGCTAAATGTGATAATTCAATGTTTAGAGAGGCTTCAAGAGAAGGATGCACATGGCCGCAAGCAAGCAGAAGCTGCAGGACTCGCCAGAGATATCATGGCTTCAATTCCATTCCACCTCACATACGCCTCCGAAGGTCTTCGCCAGGTTTCAAACCATAGCATTGGCGGGATTGCGGTAGGCAAAACTATTGGGGGCATGTTGTTGATGCATCCTCTTTGCGTCGCATCAAACTTGTCAATTGTGCCAGCGCAATTGCGAACTCAGATGCGGGAGTGTCTTGCATGGATCGGTGAGCACATGGCTATCGGTCAGGCCAGTGTCTTTTCCACTGTAAGTTGTCTCCCCAAGGTTCATGAACTCGAATTGACCAGTTTGGAGACATCTGTTACGTTTCCCGCCGACTCAATCGTCCACGGCTATGTCCTCCTCTGGGCGGGTATGCTCCTTCGCCCTAAAATTCAGCCAGCGACATGACGGAGTCTTTAGGGTATGTGTGAAAAAGAGAGTTTCCAATTATCGCTGACAGATAAAAGCATGGTGCCGCAGGCTTTCTATGGACCTGTCTTGCTTCCTCCGTAGGACTAGCGATGGTTGCCGAATGAGCCCTGCCAGAATTACATTGTGGTAATTTTAAAGCCAGAGACGGCCAGTCCTGAACAGCTAAGCATCAGCAACGCTCATTCAAAACAACCCTGACGGAACAAACTTCCCGTGCTGTGTTGATGAGCAACATTTCACAATGTGCCGCGCTGTGGAACACTTCACCCTCGACGAATTGGGATTAGCTTTGCGCGGTTGTTCTGAAAACGGCTAGCGCCATTTACCGACCACCATGCTTCCTCCAAATGCAGTGCGTACTCTCTCCACCAACCTGTCCATCTTCGAGACACCCGTGACTGTGGCTCGGCTGTTACAAATATGCTGTTCGGTGTCGGTCTTCGAGGAGGAGCTATCTCCGAAAGCGAGCGCAACCGGCATGAGACAACATGAGCAGGTATAAGATGCGAGGCCGGCCATTGCTGGTCGATCAACTTTCACTCCCGCGCAGTTCTACGAAACCAGCTGTACCTCAAGACATCAGAACTATTGGCCAAAATGACGACGCAGACGGCATTGGCACTTACAAAGATTGGGCAACCGCTGACCAAAATCGTGTTGCCCAAACCCGACAATGCTAATGGCAAAGATCTCCTGATCAAAGTCGCTGCTGTTGGCCGTAAGTGAAGCGAACTTCGCGTGATTTCGATTTGTTGTTGAAAGGGGATAACCTGCTAACATACCATAGTCGCACCACTGGATGCCAAACTTCGGGACGCTGGCTACTTTGGCATCGGTAACCGTCTTCCAGCCGTGATAGGAGGCGATCTAGTCGGCACGGTTCTTAAAGCAGGGCCGGAGGTCTCCAACGATTTCCCTCTTGGTTCGACTGTTTTTGCTCAATGCAATTTCAAAGATCCAAAAGCGGGCGGGCTCCAAGAAGTTACCACGATCAATGGCGAATATGCAGCAATCGTACCACCAAACCTGTCTGCAGCTGACGCAGCTTTGTATCCCATCAATGCGATGACCTCTGCCAATGCAATCTTTACCCCAGCTGGATTCAACTTCCCGTTCCCAGGTACACCTGACTCTGAAGGCTTCGATTATCAGTCTCAGAAGATCGTTGTTGTCGGCGGGGGCTCAAACACAGGGAAGCTGGCGATTCAGCTCGCCCACATTGCTGGAGTCGGCAAGATTATTGCCATCGCATCGCAATCAAACGAGACTCTCCTCAGAAGCTATGGAGCGACACATGTGATTAATCGTCACGATCCGGACATCGAGAGTCAGGTTCGTCTGCTTACCGGTGATGACCTCGTGCATGTACTCGACACAGTCAACAACCCTGATCGAGGTCTTGCAATGTCACTGTTATCGAACACCAAACCAGGACTCCTGATCACTCTGACTCCTGGACGGAGCAGTGATAGCTTGCATGCGCAGAAGAAAGCCGGTGTTGAGGAGAAACAAATTCTCGGCTTCCCTCACGTGTATCCTGAATTTGGTCACTTGTTTTGGAAGACGTTCCCTCGATGGCTAGAGTCTGGCAAGGTCAAACCCATCAAGTACAATGTCATCAAGGGTCTAGATGCAGACTTGGTGAATGCAGCTTTGGATAAATATACAAGTGGAAATGGCGGAGACCGATATCACGTTAGCATCTAGGAATAGCCTCGTCAGTCAAAGTATGTCGGTTCAAACCTCTCCATGGCTGCGAAGCCGCCGCCGAGGAATTGAGTTCTTTTTTAGGACCGTATCTGTGCTCGCATAGAATGCTGGCTGGTGCTTTCTGCGGTGTTGTGGATGTAGAAAGAAATCGTTGCTTTGTGAGCCTGACGGCGTCTGAACGAGGTGGTGAACGCTGTTCTTGGCGGCAGCGACGTCGGTCATTTGAATTGATTTTCTTCACCATCGCATACCAAATAAAGAATAAACAACTAACATTAAGCCACACATCAACTCGCCAGTGTGTTCAAGCACGCCTGAAGAAGATGGCCACTGAGGAGCACTGCATTCAATAAAGGTTGTGGCTCGTGGACGCGAAGCAGAGTCTCTGAGGATCGACCAACCATGCCTCGCGAGGTGGAAATCTCCAACATCGAGCGAAATTTTATTCTCGAGGCCCTCGAACAAGGCGTCCGGCTCGATGGTCGGACCCTAGATCAATTCAGGAACATTGACCTGGAATTTGGCGATGAATATGGTACCGTCACTCTTCGACTCGGGAAGACCAGGTCAGCTCGTCCTCGCATCCGACTGTGGGCGCCGGTGCTAAAACCTTTATAGAGTCTTTGTGCAGGTCTCTGCAGAAGTCACCAAACCGCAAGAAGAGCGGAAATTTGACGGAATATTCACCATTACTACGGAACTGAGCCCTATTGCGTCTCCGGCGTATGAGAATGGAAGGTTGGTCCCCCAAATCCCCCAAGGGGTCCCCCTTTGCGCTCAGCCTGACAATGACGGGACAGGCAATCAGAGCAAGAAATTATCCTATCACGCATGCTGGAGAAAGCCATACGGAGGTCCAGAGCGATCGATACGGAGTCGTTGTGTATCATCGCTGGGGCTAAATGCTGGTCGATCAGGGCCGATGTCCACGTCCTTGATGCGGATGGAGGACTGGTTGATGCCTCGTGCATCGCAATCGTGGCGGCGTTGCGGCACTTCAAGAGACCCGATGTGTCTGTGGACGGCGAGAATGTCACGATCTATACGATGGCAGAGCGAGTGCCAGTGCCATTAAGCATCATGCATCACCCTGTCTGTATCACGTACAGCTTTTATCACGACGGCGAAGTCATGCTGTTGGACGCAACTCGTAGCGAGGAGGCATGCCGCGAGGCAGAAGTCATTCTCACGGTCAACGACTTTGAGCTATGCCAGGTTGCGAAGCTGGGGGGAAAGCCGGTTGACGCGCTCGTCCTCCTCAAGTGTATCAATACGGCACTGACGACGGGACGCGAGATCAACAAAATTGTAGCAGCGAAGCTTGCTGCGGATGCAACCAAGAGAGACGTGGGAGGACTGATTGCCGAGCTGAGGGCTGAAAACGAGAGATGATGAATCAGTCAGTCAACGGGCGTGAGAATGTTGTTGGATTGAACCGCAACCCGAAGCGTCAAAGCCACCGTGGGAATTTTCCAAAACCCATACAGAGTGTCGACTCTCGAATACAACAACCCCTTGATCCAAAATTGGTGTTGGCAGCTTCTTCACAGTGTGCCTTTGGGGCGAACCGACCATACGATGATACAAAGGTGGCAGTGTAGTAGATCGTCTCAGGGAGATCTTATTTTTATCTTGGGAGATGACGAATCATGCGCGTCAAGACGGCCAGGCTGAGTTTGCTCGAAGATCATAGGCGGAGTGGCTGGTACAAGTATGCGCAGTGATACTGAGTGGAGAGCTTTGGCTTCTCGTCAAGGGGATCACTTGCAGGGAATAGGCAGCAGAGATTCGAAGGAAGAGAACCAGAGTGCTTGGGATCCTTTTCTTCGTGTTTCTGTAACGTTAGCGTCTCTGGGTGAGCATGGGAGAGGCTGGATCTTGTCTGGAGTAGGTGAGCAGGATGGAGTGAGTATCACACTGTACAATAGGGCAGCCTAGGGGGCCTGTGGCTACGTACAACCTTAGGGTACTGAGGCACGTTGTTTAAGGCATTATAGGCCTAGTGAACGATTCAGCGGCCACTCGCATCTAGTAAATCCACGCCTAGCGCGCCTAACGGTACTGGGCGTAACCCTCCTTGGCCAAGCACCAGGGCAACCCCTCTGTGCTGCTCAGCCTGCGCCTAGCACTGCAGCCTCACTAGCCTGCGACAGGCTAATATGGCAGCGCCAGATGATTCTCCAAGAATGCACGGTCATCCATTCACTCACGCTGACATCTATCTTCCATCCTCGATCTTCGTGCTCCAACACCCTTGACGACGTTATGTTTTGACGAGCGCACCACCCATCACGCACACTCTAAAACGGACGATTCTTCCCCACGGCGGTCTTGATGACATTTTGATGCCGCGCAGTGCAACTCCATAACCATTGTGGCGCTTTGAACAAGGATGGCCGGGCGGCCGTATGCGCCTGAAGCTTCCGACAAACCAAACGCCCTGCTGGACATAGAGGCTTCTCAATCATATTACAATTCCGGGCAGAGACCGCCGGTCGACGACTCTCAGCTGCTAAGAACGTTTAATATTGACGACTCCGACGAACCCCAACCGAGACCTTCCACGAGTTACGATGACTTTGTTGGCGGAAGGAATCCCAACGGGGCGCCGGGTAACGCGCAGCAAGCATCGGCTGCTGGATCCTCTGGTCGCCCGTTCACAGCTCCTTATATGACCGAACAAACGAGGAATTACTCACAAACCTCGGATCTACACAATTACTCCAAGTACGGCGACGATTTTGGCGACGAGGACTCTGGATACAAATACTACGATGGTGGAGGGCAGGCTTTGGATGAAAATATACCAGGCGGGGGAGTTAAAGTGGTCGGGAGACATCATGCACACAACCGGAGCAGTCTCATGTCGATGGGCGGCCTCGTGGATAGAGCCAAGGGCATGGTTGGTCTACGAGACAGCAACTACTCTGATATGGCGCTACCTTTGACGGAACAAGGCATGCAGCACTCGAGGGTTGATACTGCTGGCACAGAAGACGATCATTCGACCAGAGGAAAAAGAAGTTTTCCCACACTGGATGACCTCAAGTCCATCTTTGAGCGTAAAAAGGTTGACCCTGCTACTCTTGGGCCACGAATCATCCACCTCAACAATACTCAGGCGAACGCAGCAAACGGCTGGGTGGACAACCACATCTCAACTGCCAAGTACAACATTGTGACATTTTTGCCCAAATTCCTATTTGAGCAATTCTCAAAGTACGCCAACTTGTTCTTCTTGTTCACCGCCATCCTCCAACAGATACCCAATGTGTCGCCCTTGAGCAGGTATACGACAATTGTGCCGTTGGGAATTGTCCTCGCTGTCTCTGCCATCAAGGAGCTTGTTGAGGATCACAAGAGGAAGGCTGCCGACAAATCACTTAATGACTCCAGGGCGAGAGTGCTTCGGGGGTCGGATTTTGTCGACACGAAATGGATCAATGTCGCCATCGGTGACATTGTTCGAGTTGAATCTGAAGAGCCTTTCCCCGCTGATTTGGTTCTACTGGCAAGTTCCGAACCAGAGGGATTATGCTACATTGAGACTGCCAATCTGGATGGTGAAACGAATCTCAAGATCAAGCAGGCCATTCCAGAGACGGCTCACTTGATCAGCCCCGCTGAACTGGGAAGATTAACTGGACGCCTGAAGTCGGAACAGCCGAACAGCAGTCTATACACATATGAAGCAACCGTCACCATGACCGGTACTGGTGGGGAGAAAGAGTTCCCACTTGCTCCGGATCAACTACTGCTTCGTGGAGCTACACTTAGAAACACTCCATGGGTGCACGCGGTGGTCGTTTTCACGGGCCACGAAACAAAGCTGATGCGAAATGCGACCGCAACACCTATCAAGCGCACAGACGTCGAGCGCATGCTGAACAAGCAAATTCTCATGCTTGTAGCCCTTCTCCTCGTTCTGAGTGCGATCAGTACCATCGGAGATATCATCGTGAGATCAACCGCTGGACAAAAGCTGACCTACCTCTACTATGGAAGTTTCAATGCGGCTTCGCAGTTCTTCTTGGATATATTCACCTACTGGGTCTTATATTCAAATTTGGTCCCGCTGTCGCTCTTCGTCACCATCGAGCTCGTCAAATACTATCAAGCCTTCTTGATCAACGCCGACCTGGATATATACTACCCGGATACCGATACTCCTGCTGTTTGTCGGACATCGTCACTTGTCGAAGAGCTTGGACAAATTGAATATGTATTCTCGGACAAGACCGGTACGCTGACTTGCAACATGATGGAGTTCCGACAGTGCTCAATCGGTGGCTTTCGATATGCTGGGGTGGTTCCCGAGGATCTCCGAGCAGAGAGCCCAGATGATACCAATGGTGTCCATGACTTCAATCGTCTCCGGGAGAATTTGAAGTCACATCCATCTAGTGGAGCTATCCATCATTTTTTGACGCTTCTTGCAGTCTGTCATACCGTCATTCCAGAGCGTAAGGACGAGAAGTCTGATATCAAATATCAAGCAGCATCTCCAGATGAGGGCGCCTTAGTTGAAGGTGCAGTCACCCTTGGCTACAAGTTTGTCGACCGAAAGCCTCGGTCTGTGTTTGTTGAAGTGGAAGGACAAGAAGTGGAGTACGAACTGCTTGCTGTGTGCGAGTTCAATTCCACTCGTAAACGTATGTCGACTATCTTCCGATGTCCTGACGGCAAGATCAGGGTCTACTGCAAAGGCGCAGACACGGTGATCTTGGAACGATTGCAGAAAGAAAACCCGATCGTCGATGTTACTTTGCAACATTTGGAAGATTACGCCACAGAAGGTCTCCGGACTCTTTGTCTTGCTATGCGTGAGGTTCCCGAGCAGGAATACTTAGAATGGCGCCAGGTCTTTGACAGGGCCGCAACCACAGTTGGTGGGAACCGTGCTGAGGAGCTTGACAAAGCCGCTGAGATCATCGAGCACGACTTCCTTCTCCTCGGGGCGACAGCAATAGAGGATCGTCTCCAAGACGGGGTACCTGATACAATCCATACTCTGCAGCAGGCAGGCATCAAGGTGTGGGTGCTCACGGGCGACAGGCAAGAGACCGCCATCAACATCGGAATGAGCTGTAAACTGATCAGCGAGGATATGACCTTGCTGATTGTGAATGAAGACAACGCTGCAAGTACCCGGGACAATCTACAAAAGAAATATGATGCCATCCGGAATCAAGCCGCATCCGGTGAACAAGACACACTTGCACTGGTCATCGATGGAAAGTCCTTGACATATGCTCTCGAGAAGGATATGGAGAAGTTGTTCCTGGACCTGGCGGTCATGTGTAAGGCGGTCATATGTTGCAGAGTGTCGCCGTTGCAAAAGGCCCTCGTGGTCAAACTTGTGAAACGCCACCTGAAAGCCTTGCTTCTCGCGATTGGTGACGGAGCCAACGATGTTTCCATGATCCAGGCAGCACATGTTGGAGTCGGCATCAGCGGCGTCGAAGGCCTCCAAGCGGCTCGGAGTGCCGACGTGGCCATCGGACAGTTTCGATACCTCAAGAAACTCCTCTTGGTACACGGAGCCTGGAGTTATCAGCGTATCAGTAAGGTCATCCTATACTCGTTCTACAAGAACATTGCGATGTTTATGACACAGTTTTGGGTAAGTCGAGATTCAACCTGTCGTGCCATGTTGGTTTTTCTGACACAAAGCCTTGCAGTACTCTTTCCAAAATGCCTTCTCGGGCCAAACCATCTACGAGTCTTGGACGTTATCATTCTACAACGTCCTGTTTACTGTGTTGCCGCCGTTCGCCATGGGCGTCTTTGACCAATTCATCTCGGCACGCATGCTGGACCGCTACCCTCAGCTTTATCAACTCACTCAAAAGGGCACCTTTTACCGCATGCACTCGTTTTGGTCGTGGATAGCCAATGGTTTCTACCACTCCATCCTGGCCTACATCTTTTCGTCTTACTTCTTCAAGGACGATCTGATTCTTTCCAACGGCAAGATTGGTGGGCACTGGCTCTGGGGAACATCCACCTACACCGCAATCTTGCTGGTGGTACTCGGAAAAGCGGCATTGATCACGAACATCTGGACAAAGTACACCGTCATTGCAATCCCCGGATCATTCATCATCTGGCTCGCCTTCATCCCCGCGTACTCTTACGCGGCGCCGAACATCGGATCGGGCTTCTCGACGGAACTCCGGGGCATCATCCCCGTCATGTTCAGCTCACCTGCGTTTTACGCGCTGTGTCTGATCCTGCCGCCGGCCTGTCTGCTCCGGGATTTTGCGTGGAAATACGCCAAGCGCATGTACTTGCCCCAGGCGTACCATCATATCCAGGAGATCCAGAAATACAACGTGCAGGATTACCGACCGCGCATGGAACAGTTCCAGAAGGCGGTGCGCAAGGTCAGACAGGTGCAGCGCATGAGGAAGCAGAGAGGCTACGCCTTTTCGGCAGGAGACGAAGGTGGGCAGCAGATGAGAGTGCTCAACGCTTACGACACGACGAGGCAACGAGGTCAATATGGTGAACTAATCAGTGGGAGAGGCAGGTAAAGTAGGTAGGTGGGTAGGTAGTAGGTAGATGGTTTGCCTGAAGGAAACTTGGTAACTAGGTAACTTGGAAGTCTCACACTCCTCCCTCTTACTTATCTTGAAAGAAAAAAGTGGTCACTCGCACTCCTCACACTCCCCCCTCTTGCCCAAGGTAGCCAAAAGGAACAAAAGTACCTTGGAGAAGCCTTCATCACTCCCTCCTTGAGCGTAGGACTGCGTACCTGTATGGATTGATGCTGCGTTTTCTTTTTGCATCACCAATTAACGGTATGAGGATGATCTTCTCCTCTCTCAACACCCGTTCTTTGGCCCTCTCCCTTGCTGCTGAGTACTTTTCAGAGCATCTCTTCCGCTCTCTTTCGCATCGCTCACTCACTGTCCTTGGCTACCTAGCAGCCGATGCTAGGATACTTACACTGGTCAACGTCTCGGGACGACTCCCATCCTGGCCAGCAACTTCTCGATCCCCATCGGTGCCCGCCGGTCTATCTCGTCCGCCTCTTGCTGTCACGTTTCTTTTCTTCTGTATCGGACATTCGTTCAGCCTCGGCGCGGCCTATCTCAGACTCAAAATGCTTAAGCCAGTCCTCAGAATTCTTTCGATCAGGGTGATCTTCATCAAGGACCTGCCGTCGAATCTCAACCACATGTTGCATCATTTGTATAGCAGCCTTACGATTTTCAAGGTCCCAGTATATCGTAGAGAGTAAGTGCTCCAATGTTAGTCGATCTGGATGATCCTCCCCATGAGTCTGTTTGCTGATCGTGACCACCTGCTCTAATAGTGGCGCTGCCTCCTCGACTTGCCCATTTTCCAGATACGCACTCGCCAGTTCGTGCTGTGACGCTAGTCGATGTGGATGATCCTTCTTTAGTGTTTGCTCTTCAACCATAACCACATGCTTCAGGAGTGATATCGCTTCCTTAACTTGTCCATTTTCCAGATACGCACTCGCCAGTTCG